AAAAATGTTTAAAAATACGTGTTGCACCGCAAGTCTCCGCTAGGGCGGCCACCGAACCTCTCCTGCCTGCGCGGATCTGGCTCGTTCCACCAGGCCTTGGGCCCGCGTGGACGCGACACTTAGGCTGTGAGGATATTCCGCGGGTAATTTACTAATGCCCCGAGGAGTTTAGGACTTTAGGAGGAACTATCCCCAACCGCCCCCACCAGGTCTGAGCGGGAGGACCCGGGCGTCCAGCAAGGAGCCCCTCCAGCGAGGAGCCCTTCCAGCGAGGGGCCCCAGGGCTTCCACCGGCCCCTTCCCGTTCTGCACCCGCCGGCTGTTCAGAGGGTGTGGGAGGCTGCGCCCCGCAGTCCAGTCTCCTGCTCCAGGTCGGGACTCGAGGCAGCTGCTCCTGTGACCCGAGAGTCCCAGCCAGAGGGACGCAACGTCAAGACCACACTTCCCGCAAGCCAGCGAGCGAAGGCCTGCTCCTGCTTCCCGCCGGAGAGGCGCCGGGCGCAGCGGGCTCACGGCCCCAGCCCAGGGCGCGCGCCTCCGGTTCCAGCCGCACGGGGGGGGGGGGGCCGGCCTGGGGGGAGAGGGCAGCAAACAGGATCTTTCCTGGGATGGGAAGCGCCTCCACCCCCTTCCCGCTGAACTAGGCGGGGTAAACAGGCCGCTCAAGCCTTCTCGGGAACTGGACGCCTAGGGAGTTTGCCAGAAACCGCCTGTCCCAACCAAATGGAAGGAGTTCCAGTTTTTAAAGCAAATCCCTAACTTCGCAGTTTAGCGAATGGACTCCGCTTCTACTTTTAAGAAGCAAATCGAAGTTGGTATGGAAAAGGCTAAAAGATGTTATTCACCTTTGAGTCTCCCTCTCTCCAAAGAGCTGCATACTCCCACCCTCATAACTGCCTGTTCTACAGCAACGAAACATGTGTTTTGTGGGATGTTAGAATAAATGACAATAAAAGCTATGCTTTTTTAAAAATACAGATTTTTACCAGTGTCTCTATGCATATTATGTACGAGAGTGTGTGTGTCTATGTAGATATAGATACGTACATATTCGCTCGAGTATATTCTGTGGACTTAAATTTGCATTCTAAAACTGTGCAGAACTCGTCGCGTATCCCTACCACACAGGTCAAGCTTGAGTATTTAATTTATTTCATTGGTCTTCACAAAGGCCAGTTAAAATATTATTTTCTTGTAATTTTTATTTAGAGCCTCCAAAACAGGAACACACTGAACTTTTAGAACGGAGTCACCTACATGTGAAAGAATGACATGTAAATTGTATTTACAATGGAATGTTTAAAATTCATTTCTTTCTCAGCCTTCTGGGCACGGGGGTTTCTCTTCTTGGAGGAGCCTTTAGGCAGAGTCAGTTCTTGGCTCCCAGAACAGTGTCTGATGCCGTAAAACACTAAATCTGGACAGATTTACACAGAACAGAAGCTTTCATTTCACCCTTCAAATTCCAGCCAAACAGCTTTGGGGATTTTTCTATGTTCCAGACCGACTGAATGTTTTTCCAGGTTTCATGGCTGAGCCGCAGTGTATGGCAGCTCAACCAAAATCGTGACAGTACTCGACCCAGCAGTGAGGTGTGTCCTGTTTGTTCATTGTGTCCAAGCTGTGGAACAAAGGCGCCTTGTGTTAGAGATGTAACTACTGTAAACTCGATGCAAATTTGGAGATGGGTTTTACATGTAAAAAAGATGTATTTTATTTGTACTGTTTTTCTTGAAACTGTCTTCACACAGTTCTTTTATTTTTTTTAAAAAAACAAGTATTTTTATAAAGACAAAAATAGAGTACTCAAGACCTTTTTTTTCTAACACTATCTGAACGAAAGTAACTTCTTCCCATTGAGACAGGCATGGATTTTCCTCTAACTTTAAAATAAAGGACTACTATTTACATCGGTAGAAAGATGGCTCAGGAAGCTGCCTGCCTTTACTGCCAATAAAAAGTAGATCGCATTTCCCCCAGGTGAAACCCAGAGTTCTTTAACGGAACTGCCGGGTGTAGCACCATTAATAAATAACATTTAAAATAAATAGCTATTTTGGAAGAGAGGAAGCTTCTCTGGCAGGCCCTGGCAAAAAAGTTATACTCACAGGATTTTTATAACTGACCATGAATAAAATTCAGGACATTTATTGTGAGAAAGATGCAAGTCAAGTTCATGTATACTTTCTACAAAAGGGAAGAAGTTTGCATTCTCAGAGTTAGGACAGAGAATAGACTAAAAATAATTCTCTCTGATACGAAACCCATTCATAGCTGGTGAGATCATTAAGGACATTCTTTGTCCATATACATTTAGTCATGTATATTTGAAGGTGGGTGCAAGCCCGACGTGCACTGGCGTTTCTGCAGGGCCCCTCCAAGGCACCCAAGAAGCCTGAAATAGTTAAGGTGCCCCCTACAACTCCCTTCCCCTCCATACAGACTCTGTTTGTGGAGAATAGTGGAAAGTACAATGTACTGAGTTAAACAAATATTTAACTTGCTCCATGTCCAAGGCAAATCAGATTTCAGGCCAACATATGGATTCCAGCTTAGGGCTGGAGACACAGCCTCAGGTTGGGGAGTGAATCATGTGTGTGGTCACTGTCAGAGGCTCTGGCCCGGCCAGGCTCAGGGTTACCGACTCTCCCAGGGACTCTGGAGAGACTGAGCTCTGCTTTATTCCAGAACTCATCACAGGTTAGAGCTCTCTGAGGTGGACCCAAAGTGGTAGTTCTGGATTCAGAATTTAACCACTTATTTGTCTGAGCTCCTTTAGGGTAGGCCCTATGATCTATTGATTTGGGGTTCCCCGCAGTTAGCACAGTGCCTGGTACATAGTAAGCACTTGCTACAGGTCTGATAAATCCCTTGAATCATTTAAACACCTAGCAAAAAAGATGCCTTGTGTTAGGGTCTTTGGATCTTCCTGTGACTGCAGAAGGTGCAGACGTGTGCTGTACCACAGTGGCCACTAGCCACGTGTGGCTACAAATGCTTGAAATGTGGCTGGTCCAGACCGGTGTGTACTGTGAGTATGAAATGCATACCGGAGTTTGAAAACTTAGTATAAAAAAAGAAAGTAAAATATCTCATTAATATTTTTATAGTAATTGTATGTTAAATAGTAATTTAGATGTATTAGGGTGATTAAAATATATTTGTGGTTATATATTTGGGGATTTTTCTATGTTCCAGACCGACTGAATGTTTTTCCAGGTTTCATGGTTGAGCCGCAGTGTATGGCAACTCAACCAAAATCGTGACAGTACTCAACCCAGCAGTGAGGTGTGTCCTGTTTTTTCATTGTGTCCATGCTGTGGAACAAAGGCGCCTTGTGTTAGAGATGTAACTACTGTAAACTTGATGCAAACCTCTAAAATGACCCCAGTGACTTCAAACTCATGTCTATAAGTAATTCTCTCCCCTAGAATGTAGGCAAGACTTAGTGGCTCAATTCTAAGGAACAGAATCTGGTAGAAGTGATAGTGTAACCGAGCAAACTGGGGCTCGGCCACATGTCGCCTTGCTGCATGACCCGATCACTAGTATTGAAGGAAATAGTCTTTTATTTGCAGGACTCCAACTTCACAGGGCAGTTGGGGGCACTCCTGTTTGGAGCCCTGTTCTCCCATAAGGCTCAGCACCTCCCCTGCTCCCCTAAAGGGTATAAGCCAAAACCATGCCTCCAAGTTCCCCATATCCTTACCTGTTCTTAAGCCGGCTATGCAAGCAGATCTCCATCCCCTCTGAAAAGTACCTTTTTGGATTTCATAGTCGCCACCCTCTGGCAGCAGCTGTCTCCTTCAGGATCTGGGGTACATTGTCCTCAGACCCCGTGCAGTGGTCCAGAAAACATGGCTGTGTTACCCTGGGTCATGGTGGGGTCCAGGGACGCACACTTCCGGAGAGAGTAGCCTCTCTATACATCCTTCAGAGAACTAGAAGTCAGCACTCCCTGGTCACAGTTCAGCATTCTAGGCATCTCTCACAAATACGTGCTTGGTTCAGCAGGTTCCTGCACAGCTCCAGTAGCTCTCTCCTTACACCCTTTCCTCAGCCCACACAGCTGCCTTCCTCACTACCCTAGGCCACATGGTGGAATCCTGACTCCCGGCCGGCATGGTTTCTTTCACACACCAGCCCTCACGCTGGACTGCTTCACTACAAACTGCATAGCTGCTTGCTGCTTCCTCTCTCAGACCTCATGGCTAAGTCCCCCTACTTCATGGCTCCTTCCTCATGGCTGCCTCTCTTCTCCCTCGCCCACCCTCATTTTAAACGCTTGGCCTGGAGCTTCCCACATGTCCTCATATCCAGCCCCTCCTATGAAGTGCTACTTTTGCCAGTTCCCCCATATCTTTTACCTTCTTTCAGTTGCATCTTTAGTCAGGGCGAGAGCACCCGTGACACAGGAGCCTCTGGCTCCTACCTCTCACATGGGTGCTGTATAAGCTACCCCTCAGCTACATCATGAGTCACTGTACAGTCTGGAAATCATGTAGATCTTTTACCCAGGTGGCATCACAGCTATCAACTAGCTGTCAACTTGACATTGTTGTGAAAAGTATCTTAACTAATGTATCATCCCCTCCCCCCATCCACCAACCATGGACTGTGGGGGATATTTTTGAGGACCCCCACTTTGCACCCTGTTTCAATAGGATATAACTTGCAAGATCAGATTATTAAAAGACTGCAACTTCATTTTTTAAAAGATATTTATTTATTTATTCATTTATTTATTTAAGAGGCGAGAAGGGAGGGAAAAAGAGAGGGAGGGAAACATCAATGTGTGGTTGCCCCTCATGTGCCCCCTACTGGGGACGTGGCCTGCAACCCAAGCATGTGCCCTGACTGGGAATGGAACCAGCGACCCTTTGGTTCACAGACTGGCACTCAATCCACTGAGCCACACCAGCCAGGGCAAAAGACTACAACTTCTATTTTGAGTGCTCCTCTCCCTCCTAAGCTTGCTTCCTCTGTGTCTCTGTCTCAAGTCCCAATCACCAGAACAGAACAGACTCTCACGCTAAAGATGCCAAATGGAGAAGAGAAGCCCTGGAGGACAGAGGTCACGAGGAGAAGAACTGAGGCCTTTCAGCGAACAGCCAGCACCAATGACCAGCCACATGAGTAAGACGTTTGGAAGCAGATCCTCATGCCCCAGTCAGTGCTTCAGATGGTGCAGCCAGGCCGATGACTGCAAACTCAGGGGAAACCCCGAGTCTGTCCAGATCTGTGGCTTGTACATACTGCCCCACAGCAACCGTGAAATCATAGGAGTGTGTGTTTTAAGGTAAGCTTTGGGATAAATTGTCACAGAACAATAAAGAACTAATGTACTATTATTAAAATGAATTTCTTTAGTTGCTTTTTACTTTTCAAAATGTGGCTACAAAAAATTTTAAATTACATGTGTGGTTCACATTATATTTCTATTGGATAGCACTGGTCCCTATGGCTTAGATAGGATAAAGGTGTTCCAGGTTTAACTTGGGACTCCAGGGTGCTGGACCCAAATTTTGGTATAGAAAACTATGAAATAGGACTAAATCTAACAAAATATGTTCTCACCTATAATGCCTTGCCTAAACCAATTTCAACTACTCACATATTAAACAGCTGTAGATTGAGAGTCAAGAGTTATTATTTTCCCAGTTTAGCCTTAAGTTACTTGAAAGCTATACCCAGAGAGACCCTCTTACTGTCTTTTTTCAGCTCTAACACATTATGATTCCATAATTGCTCATTTTAGCATTTTCTTGCTACCAACGAGTAATGGCTACATGGGAGATTGCTAGTTCAGTTTTTCTTGTAATAATGAACCCAGCATTAGCAGCTCCACTTGTCCAAAATGATCTTTTAGCAAAAAGTAGTAAGTTGCGGCGTGGAGTGGACAACGGGAGACAAAGGAGCATTCTTCAGCATACCCCTAACCGCTCCCACAATCCTCTGTGGCCCTCCACAGCCTTGCTTAGAATTCTCGCATCTCTGTTCCTCACCCTGACATCTAGAATACCAGAAAACTGTTTGCATTTAATTTTGTAGCTAAGCTTTAAGTTGGGAAGAAATGAAGGACTTATGTTTCTGTTCAAGAGCCACAGATACCTAAGGTAATAATTAGAAAAATACTTAGAATATAATACTTTCTATTGGATTTTATTTTACTGGTACAATGACAAGTTCTCATAAGTTTTCAGTGGAGAAAGATGTCAGTGTCTTTTCATCTTTAAGGCAGAAGGACGCTGGTTTGCTCTGGCTATTTACAGATAATCATGGAATAGGACCATGTTATAAGAATGAACAGTCTTCTGTGTTTTTTTCTAAATTTAATTAAGAAATTCTCTTCCTTGTGTCTTAAATGCATTTTATGTTGGCAACATGATAGCAGCTATAATAATATATGGTGCTTCAGAGGAGTTGATTTTTCTGTAGTAAAATTTTGAGCAAAGCTAGATAGTCTATTACAAGGCTATCATTGATTGTTTCAATCCCTTAAAATTGACCCTTGATGAATGTTGCTGAAATATTTCACCCTTGAACTTATGGGGTGAGTAATTAAAGGTCTGGCACTGCTACACAGGCCATCATTCCATAAATGTTTGTGAGGAGTGGTTGCTCTGAAATTTTGCATAAAAAAAAACTAGACAGGTTGTTGATATAAGTTAGCATTACTTTGGCAGATGGCATTTACTGTTCCATTATATTTATTTCTACTAGGGTTTAGTTTTCAGGATTTTTATAACAATATTTTAGTAGATTTTAGTTTTTTTAGAGATGAGTTTTAGAAAGCTCTTGTTAAACTGGAAAGTTAATACTATGAGCAAATGATAAACGATATCACATATTGAGACAATTACAAATCAAAGCCTTATGTTAAGTGATGATTTTAATTCTAGATTTTCACTTTCAATTTTCTAAAACTACATATTTTTTCCTACATAAATCATTAGTATTTGTCTAGGTACACAAAATAAGAAAATCAGCCATTTCAGATGATACCAAAGCTTTTCCAAGTTTTTAGAATACTGGGATTTAAGCTGCATGTGCCGGGCTGTCTCCAGACACTGCTTTAGAACTAAGCAATTCGGTTTTCAAAGTGTTCTCAGCATATGCTCCTGATAACTTTCCGAAACAAGTAATGAATGGCACAGTATGTTAGAACACACTTTAATAAATCAATGTCCTAAAACTGATGGTTCTTAGTTTCCTATTTTCATTTTCATTTTCAAACCAGTTTTCTTTGCTTTAGCCTTCACTATGAAGCACTATTCACTCAAATCTTAGCTTTTTCTTTTTTAATTTGTAGGCACGACACAATTTTTTTAAATAAAGAAAGCCATTATTTGACTACTGAAATTTTATCACTTATTTTCAGGAAATGACAATTTATAGTATAAAGGTTTAGAACATGGAATTTTTGTATCTTCAGCCCTTGGAATGCAATGAATTGGCCTAGAGCCCTCACCGCCTCTTTAATCCCCTGCCTCCTTCCTCTTTCTTCCTCCTCATCTACCTGCATGACCAACTCATACCCTTTCCTGCCACACACGGTCTCATTATTCTTTAGTCCCTAAAACTCTCTCTCTCTCTCTGAGGTGGACCCCCTACCTACGGTGCTCCCACAACACCGGCAGACCCACGCTGGTTCCCGAGCCTTAGACCAATCCAACCTTTGGTGACTAGTTCTATGTCTTCCTCCAGCCCCCTTCCCCGCCCACATGGCTCTGCTCTCAGCAGCCACATCGCATGCTCTTTCTTTTTTTTCCTGGCTGACACCAAAGAGGACTCCCTAAGTGGCTTGTCAAATAAACCCAGATACAGCAAAGGGAATTGCTCACAGCGTAAACCGAGAAAGAGGAGGAACTTTCATTAACATCATAGACAAGGAAAGGAGTTGACAGGCAGCAGTAAGTTTATGGAGCATGCTTCCAGTTGTCTTTGAAAAGTCCTGCCTTCCACTCCTGCAATGCCCACCCCTCAGGCATTCCTACATCATTTGCTGTTACCAGCCATGCATATATTTTTCTAATTCCTACTTCAAACTCCACCTCACCAACAGGTGCCTTTTTGTGAAATCAGGATCAAATACACATGTGGCTGTTATTCAGCTGCTTTGAGAGTGTGGTGAAGGGCACAAGGGACCCTCCGGCCAGGCCGTCCCCGGCGATTCTCAGTGAGGCTCTGTGTGCATCCAGACCCTCCCTTTGTTTGAGATCCAGCACGTGACTCCTGCGGATGACTGACAAGGGCAGACTTGTAACTGTGTTATTTCAGGAGGATAATAACCAGCCATCATAAATTCCTTTTTTAATAGTTTATTGCAGGTTGTAGGTTATTGACAATGACTTTATTTTACAGCACGAAGGAAAACAGTTCCTTGTGGCTGCTAGCTTCTAAAACCACTTTAAGCCTTTTTAGTGCCCTCAGAGAAAAGCTAGTCTTTCATGAAATGAATCATAAATAGCTGAGGGAAGGCAACCACTGTTAAATAGGAAGAGAGAGGAAGGGCAGAGAAAAAGAAATATCTGTTTGAGATACAAAAGAAATGTTCTAGGAGCCACTCCCATGAAAATAAAAATTGCAATCCAACTTTAAGGGCCATCCTTCTACATCTTACTTTCTTTTTTAATTTTTTTTAATTTTAATTGTTGTTCAAGTAAGTTTTCTGTCTTTTGTTCCCATCCCAGCCCAGCCACCCAGCCCTCCCCCTCCCTCCCATTTCCACCCCCCTAGTTTTTGTCCATGTGTCCTTTATACTTGTTCCTGTAAACCCTTCCCCTTTTCCCCTGAAATTCCCTCTACATCTTACTTTCTTGAGGTGACAAATGAAATTGAACAAAGAACTATCTAAAAGCCTTAACCATAACTATGTAGAGGAATAAAAATGAATTAGGAAGAGGCTTATTCCACGATCAGAAAAAGGAACTCCGGGTTTCATTTCACTTCTTGTTCTGTTGGAGGCACACCACTTCAATACTAATTCCTTGCATCAAAAATCTCATATTTTGTTAGGATTTCTACATCTTGACTGCAAATGATGCTGCAAGAGATCTTCATCACTGTCAGTTCCTCTGCTCTCAGACCACACACCAGTGCCCATGCCAAAAATGGCCACGATGAAATAGAGAAGAATGTTATGGATATTTAGTTAGAGGACAGAGTTTATAAGCACCTATGCATCTATTTTTATTTTCCTTTAAAAATGGGAAAAAAAGTTTAGTGAACAAATATTTAAGCCCTAAAATATCTTTTTAAAAAGTAATTCTTATAAAGCACGCAGAAAGTTGAAACCCTGCAAGTCAGGTAGATAGGTGACTAATCGTATTTTTGATATATCTCTCTGCCTGGTCATTAACTTTAAATGTCATATAAGAATTTGTAATCCACAGTAAATTATTTCATAGAAATAATTTAAGAGAGCAGCTGACTAATGTGAAACATTCTACTTTCCACCAGCGGTTGGCTGCCAAACATTGTTAAAAAAAAGGGAGAGAGAAAAGGAAAGAGAAAGGTTCCAGATATAAGTTGACATAAATTATAGAGACTATAAATTTCTAATGATCAAGTGGTGGTTAGAGATTATTATGTTTAGAAGGTACGGAAAAAACATATTAAACACCATGAAGTCTCTCCAAGTTCCATTTTATACATTAGCAAACTGGATTTTAAAAAATCCCCTCAAAGCCTTTTAACTTCTTTGTTTAATGCCCTAGACTCAATGTCGTACATTTCACTGTAATAAAGTTCATTGAGTGTAAAGGGGGGGATCATATTTTAATGGTCAGAAAGGCTGCCTGTGCTCTGTTTTTAAATTGTAAATTAGAAAATTTAGCTGTTAAACTAAAACTTTTAACTCTTTTCAAATGTTTCTCTCAGGGTATCCGTGTTTACAGCAAAAATCAGAATAACTCAAAGTGATAATTCTCCAAATAAAAGTTATAATGCGTCCCTCCCCACCTTTCTGCAAAGCTGAAACCCTCTGAGTGGGAATAGTGTCCGGGTTGTAAAAGGCAGCAGCACGTGAGTGAGACTGGGCAGAATCGGCCTGACGGGGAGTCGGAGGCCAGGCGCAGGGATGCGCAGCCGCCCAAACGGCAGCACCGTTCACGTAGAGATCCATAGTTCGGGGAATTACTTTTCGTTTAGAGGATTTACTGCAAAGCGTGGGGCGGGGATAGTAAGTCTGGTTGAGAACATTAATTTTCTCCTTTAAAGATTCATTTCAAATCTTTACTCTTTCCTTCAAGGTGTGACTCCAAAGAAAGACATTTATGTCAAAGAAGGTTAGGGCCCTAATTCTGTGCACTGCCTTTTAAGCGCATTCTAGAGGCCTACGAGACATCATATAAACTGTAGACTGCAGCATCCTACCACCCCAGTACTTAACATCTGTGCACCAGCTTCTTGGGAGCAGAAGTGGAGACATGTGCATTTTAACATATTCCAAGAATATAGTCACAGGGGAAAATCTACCTTTCACCATATATGGCCATCGTGCAATTCTATCCAAGAACTCAACGCAGATATTTATGTAGTCTCCTCACCCGCTCTCTCCCCAGGTTGGCGGAGGTTTAAAGGAATACTTTGGGGAGGCCCCTGCAAAGTCTGTCTTCTCGGATATGAATGGCGCTGATGGAAAAAGCGGAAATGCTTTTCTGAGCGTGAACTGGACTGTCACTGTGTGGGGTATGTCAGAGGGCTTTTTATCAATCTTTCAAAAAGTGCCTATAGCGAGAAATATTTGCAGTTATCCTAGATACTAAACTTTTTGTTTGTGCCAGGGTTTTTTGGGGGGGGATTTAAACAAATTTTTTGTAAGTTGAGATCTTGACCCATTCCTTTGGGGACTATCTCCACATGCACTAGGATTCTAGTGATGAAAAAGAAGATCAGTGGGATAAAGTGATACTTTTTAAGGGAATTTAAGTGGCCTGGGGAAACTGTCCAACACGGCTGTATTAAACCCTGCTGATCACTATGGAGGGGGAACACAACTGACAGGCAGAATTGCGGGGTAAGGCAGGGGAAGGGGGGTGGGAAAATGGAGACAACTGTATTCGAATGTCAGTAAAAAGCATGCTGTTTATATTTTAGCATCTTTGTGATTGTACACTGAATAAGATGTCTATTGAGGGTTTGGGGTGTACAAAAAGACCACGGTCAAATATCTAAGGTATTCAGGAACCCCAGTTTGGGAACCACCATGTCCATTAGATCCTTTGTTCTCTTAATTTCTCCTTCTTTCCATCTTTCACTGCAAAAAACCTGCAATATTTATTTTTGAGTAATCTAGTTACCAAAACAGTATTTTAGTTCTCTGACCAGGGGATAATATATTTGATATTAAGATTGTCCTAGAAATTCTAAGACACATGATCTTGTTCACCGATCTCATGATCTCATGACCATATCAAGATTTGTAGAATCTTAACTGTAAATCTTATAATCAATGTATTAATTAAAAAAACAATAATTATTGCTAGTAAAAAAAAGACACTTAAAAATTTTTTATAAATATAATGTACACAATTCATGTCAAACTAGCATGCCTGTTGTAGCAGTCGCTTGAAGGACACGTGGCCAGCGTGCTCGAGCAGTCTGGTAAGAAACGACCGTGATGCCTGGTCACGGTCGGAGATGGAACGGCACAAGGAGCAGGGGTCCGGAGGCCTGGGTGCCGGCTCCGCTCTGCTCTTACCAGCTCTCTGACTGTGTCTGTCCCTTGTCAGAAAGACGTGGGGACGATCATATCCATCCTTCTTACCTCACTGTTGTTCTGACGACTCAGTAAGAGAACATATAATAGTGTTCCGAGAGCTGCAGACGCCACAGACCCACAAGGTACTATTATTATCAGATTTTTAATCATCCTGCAATAGTTGGGTGCCGTGTTCATGTCAGTGCTAATGCAGGGCTCTCACGGGCAAGAGAATAATGAAAAGGATGCCACTGCCTCACTCCAGCTCTCTGGAAGGAGCCCTCCAGACCCTCAGACCCCGCGCCCCCTCTCTCAGCATTGCCCACCGTGTCCGCGGCCCTCACCAGGAGGAGGGTCAGCACACATGTGCTCACGGGGGGGGGTGCGACTCCATGGACCACCCTCTACCTGCGGGTCTCCCACACATGCTGATAATACCAGCTCCTCTAACACCTCTGGGATCCGAACACACCTTTGGAGAACGGAAGTTTCAAGTGGCGGGCTCTGTCTGGCCTGTTCTCCGGCAATGCAACAGTGGTGCATTAACTGCTTTTCTACTCAGGTCACCCTTCCTGCAAAACATGTTTAAAACGCGTTCAGTACATTGTTACATTGGAGTGGTTTTAGACACCCTGGGGAGGGGGGTCAGGGGAAGGCCTTAAAAATGTTAATTAACTGGAGTGTAGAGCTTAACATTCTGGATTCCAAGATGGTATTTAAGCCTATTTAGATTTTCTCCAAATTCTCTAAGGCTAATGTAACTTCTAAATGTTCCTAGTAATCTCTAATTATTTGTGGAAATGGTAGATGTGAGAAGACCAGATTAAACCCACAGATAATCCCCAAATCCCATTTTAGCCAACAGCACAGCTCTTTTCCCACCACCCTGAGCCCCGGAAGGACTAAGACGAGCAAGGCCTACTGGAGTCCCCAGCTCCCTGTTCTCTTGCCCCCTCTCTGGTGGAGATGTTATGAAGGGGCCGAAGTGCCAGAAACAAAGCCCTAAAGGAAGGTGGAAAGTCGGGGGCCTGGGCCACTGCCAAGCTGGAAGAGCAGACACCCAGAACCGAAGCCACTGGAGTCCTAGCATAGAGGAGTGGCCCGCATGTGCGTGCCTCGGGGCCCTGGGCCACGCGTTCAGCAGCAGCCGCACCCTCAGATCCCTGCGGGCTGCCCAGCCGTGTGTTCATCCGAGATGGGCAAGGCCACGCGGTCAGCTGCGGCCGCCTCTCCCAGCTCACGACTCCAAGGACCCGGCCGGGACGATCCAAGCACTCTCCTCAGTCACACACGGTGTCCTTCACAGGACGAGGACAGGAAGAGGGAGACCAGGACTTTATGTGGAGGCCTGCGTGACCAGTCCCCAGGTCGTTTTCCCCTGGGGAAAGGGGAAAACGTGTTGTATTGTATTGTTTCCCCGTCTTGGTGCTTTTCGGTTTTTCTGACTTGACGGTTTATTTACATCCGAACAGAAATGGTTCCCAGTTCTTTTGAACCCAATCTAGTTTTAATGACCCTAAAATTTTTACATGCTCCATAAGGCTTTTGAAATTTCAAAATAAATATTATCAGGGAAACAAGTTGATGCGAACCATTTTATAATACAGTTTTTCAACAGATGAAAATGTTTTATTAGACGATTTCCTATCTACTCTTGGTAGAACACCCACGGAGAAGCAGTTTGGGTTTCGGTGGGCTGATCGCTTCTCTCCGCCCGCTTCCCCCCTACTCCGTTCCTGGGCCATCCATGTTAGAGCTCCCTGGACTAGAATTGATAACCAACTTTGTTCAAATGCGTAAGGAATTAAACATGGAAGTAGAAGGAGAAGGAGAAACGGAGATGACCTGATGAAGGGGACTCCGCACAACTTCTTGAGGAGGAAGGATGGAAATGTGCGCCAGTCTGTCCTGAGAGAGACTTGGTGTGGAGGGGCCGCGGTGGGAGAAAACCGAAAAGGAACGGCGTCCAGCCAGTTAGATTAAAAAGCTGCCTCCTTCAGAATGTAAAGGTTCTGAGTCAGAGAGCTCGGGCTTAACATACTCCACTTACGTTCTAAACTTAGGTCCTTTAGGCTCACAACCCCTTCAGGCCTCGGTATCTGCAAGCACTAGGTCTCCAGATGCTGGGGCGGGGTTCGGACCTGAGGAAAAGGAGGGACGCAGGAGCAGCAGCCCCGGTTCTTCCTAGAGCGGCCTTCCCCGGAGGCCGCAGTGACTGTCCCCAGGTTCTCGGGGCCGCGGAGCTGCTCGACTGGCACACCCCCCTCGCTCAGGAGTCCTCGCGGGCACGGGACGCAGCGGCGGGGTTTGGTCACTTTCAGGACTCCGGTCCTCCAGTCACAGGGGACGTCAGAGCCGGGAGCCCAGAAAGGTGTCTTGGGCCAACCTGCGTGGATCCCGACGACCCCCCCCCCCCCGCCCTCCTCCCATCCAGGACCCCGGCCCTAGGCCGCCCTCCGGGTGCACCAGGCTCCAGAGCCTTCGGTCCTTGCCAGAGCCTTCAGTCCTTCTCTCCTGCCCTCCTGCGGCCACTGGGGAGAAAACAGCACCGCTGCTCGTCTATCCCGGCTACCCAGGGCCACTGCTGCTGCCACCAAGATCGTGGGCACTTGGGCTGCACGTGGGTGCACAGCGCTTGGGCAGGATCGGAAAGGCTTGGCTCGGTGGGGAACGGTGGTGATTCTCTGCGGCACCGAGGCCCCCTGGGATCTTCGAGAACTTTCAAGCAAGTGTGCACCATCCCCTCTACCCGCCCATCTAAGGCTGTTTACCCAGAGCAGTGAAAACATTTTGGGAAACCCTTTCCAACGCCGGTGCTAGCGGCTGTATGGACAATAACCTGGTGATCTACTAAGGGAGGGCCTTGGATCTGCAGTCTGGAGGTAGGAGGTGGGGGCCTGGGGTCGCAGCCTGCGGTCTAAGGTGGCATGAATGGCAGCGTAGTCACTACCTTTGCAAAGCGGTGCTGAAATGTTTATTTCATTTTAATCCCCTTCCCACCCCCCTGCACTGCCTCTACTAGCCCAGGGGCAGTTACAAATGACTTCCACATCCTGGTAGTACGTGGGGGCCTGGCCTTTCCCTCAGCCAACCCAGCCAGCAAGGTTTCTGCTGCCAGAAAATGTGTTTCCCATCCAACTCTTCTTGCACAAGGACAAAATGTAATGTGTCTAAAAATGGCGAACTTCCTGTAGGCTTCCCTCACCCAACCCAGTTGCCCACTTAGGAATAAGACTAGTGTGACAGGGATCAGCTGGAAACCTGTTTTCCTTTGTACATCCCAGATTTCTGCTGTTTCAGTGTCCCATGTCAGGTGAAATTATTCATGAGGCTCTGAAGACAGTTGATAAGTCTTACTCCTTCCCCTTAGAAATTCCAAGTGTATTTAAATCACTCCCCGGTTGCTGCAGAGGGTCTGTGTTTTATGGGATTTCTCCAGTGGGCTTTGATTATTCTCTTACCAAATCTGTTTCTCAGCTTCAGGCTCCTGAATAAATTACGCGCCCCTTCTCTCAGCTGCCACTCCTCCACCCTGCTCCAGTGTGAGCAGCGGAGATGCCCCTGGACAACAGCTTGGAATGGAAGCTCTGGGACACATCTGTCACCAGTCCTGGGACGCCCATATGCCACTTGCTTGACTGAGAGATTATGAATGTCTAAGGCAATAGCCAGGGAATTGGGGTGCCTGGACCTTACTCTGTGTACAGATTTATCCCTTGCTTGCAGGATTGCAGGATCACTTAACTAATGTCACCATATCCTTTCTGGAGCTTGGTTGCCTTGTCAGGAAAAGGTCTGTTAGAATACTCACTTAGAGAACACCTTAACAACCCCCCCCCCCCCCAGGAAATCATCTTGGAGCTTCTTTGAAGATTGCCACTTGCCAGAGGTTGGAGTTAATTGATGCCAGGCAGGTCTGTGGTGATGACTGTAGACTTGTATTTATTTTGGTGTTTGCTTGAGGGCTGGGGAGGCTAATGGGAAAACGGCAGCAAAAGCCCCTGAGTGAGCCAGGAGGCATTTGCATTGCCTGCCAAGCTACTTTAAAAAAATCATTGTCATCCAGCCTTCTCGGGGAGCAGGATGGGGCAAGGCTAAGTTGTCCATTCGGATGTCTGCTCTTCCTATGGCCTCACCTAGCAGGCCGCTAAAGTCACTGTTTCCCTCATTCACAGGATGTGTGAAGAGGTGCTCTCCCTGGGAGTTTCGAGAGCAGCCACTTCTGGGGCTGAGATTGGTTGTGTTTCTATGATTCATGTCACCAGGGGCCTCGGCTGCGCAAGGATTCCTGGATGCTCCAGCTGGGCCTTCCCAGGCAAGGACAAGGACCCTGTTATCCTTTTCTTATTTTGAGTTTTACTAAAACAACACCACCAATAACAACAAAAAGTAAAACAAACAAAAAAATCAAAATATACAAAGGCATAGACATCTGGCATGTTTACCAAGCACAGATTTCTTAGCCTAGAATAATTAAAGCCTGTCAGACTTGGCTGATTCCCGCCTCTGGCTGGGCTCGTGGCTTCAGATTCCTTGTCACCCACATCAATGTTGGTCATCAGATGAAGTTAGTTCTCCACACTCTGCTGCCTTGTCTTCTCCAGGGGGGGCCTCCAGCTTGGCTGGACCCCCACTTTTG